TTATCAGCTCATCATTACCCTGATACTAATATTTGGCTCCTGTATACTTAACCTACTCAATTTGTTCTATCTCGCCTAGAAGCCATAAGACTGCAAATGGTAATGGAAATGGAACCCAGGATGGAAATGCCCATCTTCCAAGGCCTCTTGACCAACCACTAATGGAGACCTAACTGCACCCCTTACTGCATCCCCTCTCAGCATGAAGTAGCCAGAGCAGTCATCACCCCCTTTCTGTAGAGGGGGGAATAAGACAGGGACCATGGGTATAGTCAGAGTAGGGGGAGGGCCTCTGGGGGAAAGCTGGGTGGGATATTTACAGTCAGAGCAATGTAATAATACGCAAAGAAGTCCCTACTGAAACTCTGTGTTAAGCATTATGCAAAGTCAAGGTCACACTAATTATCTAGGTTAAAGATACCAGACTAAGAATATAGACATCTTCAGTGAGATCAGTTAAAGGTCAAAACACCAGGAGCAACTTGGCCTGGAATGTTTCACAAATAAAGAAGGGTATCTCAGCATAACCGTGACTTCCCTGTAAGCAACCCTAGCAATCAGAGAACAACCCAGCCCACCTTGAAAGCAAGACTGGTGATACAAGTCCACACCCCTAAGCCTTTTTTTCACATTCCCAAAAATCCTCAATTCCCTTTAAAACCCCTAGACAAAAAATCCTCAATTGCCTATAAAACCCCTAGACAATGCACCATCATGGACTCTCTTGTCCCCTCCTGACATGAGCCAGGAGCTCTGTCCTTTCCCTTTATCTCTAAATAAAAGCCTGTACCTTGCTCTCCTACCTTGAGTGTTTGTGAAGCTCATTCTTCGGCTTCGTGAATAAGAACCCCGGCATCAGTTTCAGGGTGCCTCTTCTTGTAGGGCAGCCCACACTCACCTTTCTCCAAGTGTGCTCCTTTTGCCTTAAATAAACTTCTCACTTACATGCATTATCTCTGAGCCTTTCCAGTGGTAAGTGTTTTATTACTTTTCTTTGTTAGTCTAATCCTCTGAATTCTGGCTTTAACCTTCACTCTATTCTATACTCAGACAAGTAAGGAGAGGCTGCTGAGACCTCAGACCTGGGCTTGCAAATTACCATCACCTGGCTGACCAGGAACTGCAGCTTACAGTCATGCACTTTAGTAACCTGCCTGAAAGTCTCCCTTCTTTACCTATAGGAGGTTCGCAGAACATAATCTCACTCCATCCAGTCTTCTGCGGCTCCCCCAAAGCCTGGGGTAATAGGTACTCAGTTCCCACGTAGTGCAGATCCAAGCAGAGGCTGGACACCGGGTGACTCTGGCTTAAGGAGTTAGCAGGGGTCGTGCCCCATGCTGAGTAGCTGTTCAATGAACTTCCTTTATTATTCTGTCATTCCCTAACACTCTTTAATGAATTCCTTCCTCACTTTGTCCTCTGACTCCCCTGCATCACGGAATCCGAACTCTCCCTAACAATATAATTTGATATATAATGTCACAATCTGATATACAGTGTTCAGAGCAGCATAAGTCATAAAAACAGTCATTACAACACTGGGAAATACTCAATTTTCATCAACAGCGGCATAGATAATATTCCATTCGGAGTAAAAAAATGGCTAAAATTAAATTGCAGTGCTTAGAAATGTGTACATGGGTGGTTCAGCTTGGAAAACAAGGAAATAAATGACTGTCAGAAAAGCGAGGATAGTAGTGATCTGGGAAGCTGGCAGGTGCTTCAAGGAGGATATCCTGGAGAGCGTGGGAGTCGGCACTGTTCTGTTTCTTGACTGAGTGCTGGTTTTATGGTTATCACCTTTGTAATTATTCTTCAAATGGTACATGTATGGTTTTGTAACATATATCCAAATTCTGTATCATATATCCAAATACTTTTCTGATTCATATATCCAAATTCAAAAAAACACGTGCATGGAATGATAACATCATGTGTAGGAGACAGGGGAAGGAGATCAGGGAGGTATGTGCAGATAATTTTGCTTGTGATATTGTATCTCATGAGCTGGTAAATGAGTACATGTGCATTCCCATTTGTCCAACAACAAATGCAATGGTGTATTTTTTCCCTACATATATGTATAAATAATTTTATAAATAGCAATAATAATAGTATAACTTCATTTGGGTACCCGGACTCAATTCCAATGAGTTTAAGTATGTGAGAGGGGGTCTTCCCACACATACTAACACCAAGCAATTCTGGGACACCAGCAGGGTGGTAGAGAACTTAACTCAATTCTGATGCTACTGCCTGGAGCCAGCAGCAGATTCCCAGTTTAAGGGCTCCATCCTACAAGACTGCCCTCCACCCCCAAACACAGATGCTGGGTCCCAAGCCCCAGGCAGTTATCTGTGCTTCTGACCTACCAGCTACAGATTGGAGGTTCCCACGACCTCCTCTTTGGATTCGATTAATTTGCCAGGGCAGCTTACAGAACTCAGGAAAGACTTATGCTTACCAGTTTAATAAAGGATGCCATAAAGGATACAAGTTAAGAGCTAAATGAAAAGAGACAAAAGGAAAGCTCCCAAATAAAGCAGCTTCTATCCTCATGGAGTTTGGGGCCTGGCTTGGATGCACAAGGAAGCATTCTGGCTCCCCAAATATAGAAGCTCTTTCCAACCAAAGAAGATCCAAGTGAGAACAGCAGGTAAAGACGAGCACAGAGAGACCAAAAAAGAAAAAACCTCTTCTCAAGGGTTTTGTGAGGACTTTATTGCATAGCCACGATTGACTAAATTACCAGCCATTGGCTGATTCAGTCTCCTCCCCATTCAGCTTAGGTGGGGGTCCAAAAGTATCATTAACACGACAAAAAGCACCAGTTTCATCTCTAAGACTCTTCACTGTTGTCAGGAACTGTGGATGAGGACCAAATATACCTGGGAAATATATATTTGGTCATACGAGTGACCAAATATGTATTTCCTATGTTAGGAAAGAGTATAAAACCTAAATGTGATTTATTCCCACTAGATGTTTAAACATTTTAACAGTAAGGTATTAACAAAGGGCCACGTGGTGGAAGCTGCTCGGGCTGAGAGTGGGGGTGGGGAAATTGATAAGGGCCTGGCTATACCTGTTTGAGTTTTTTTAGACCTACGAATAAGACTAAGACAAATGTAAAGGAAAGATATAACGGGCTTAGGTGACATCCGGGGAAGACTGTGAACCCTGTAGTACTCAGCCAACGAGGAATCAGGGGAGGGACTTGCACACTAGGAGATAAATTATTGGCGCCAAACTCCCCAGGTGTGCCTGCCCATCAGACACCTGATCTTGCAAGACCGTCATTAAAGCCTCTCTCCGCTGTTCTGTTTCCGTGTCCACTTACTGAATTTGGACCAGTGAGTGTTTCTCACACCTATGACTCATTATATCACAATATGGGTTTTCAATTACATGGGTCTATAATTGCTTATATGGCTAAAATGTTGAAATCAAAATTAAAATGAAAGTTAATGTGGAAGATGAATTTTTTTTCCTATTTTCATTTCCTTTATTGTTAGATTCAGCAGCTGAATCAGTACTTGAAGATTTGTTGAAATTTATAAATTCTTTTTATTTGGGAAGACATGGAGAATAGAATCCAGTTTACTAATCTTAGGACTTGATGCCTGTAGTGTTGTGCCCAAAGTCGCGAATCCCAGAAGACCACCAAGGAGCCAACACTGATGCAAAAGCGAAGAGCCTTTATTTGAGCTAGCTCGAGCTCAATCTCTCATCTACACCAAGGCAGTGGCAAGATGCCAGAGAAAGAGCGAGTTTCAATACCACAAAGGTTTTATGGGGTTTTAGGGCAGTTGGGGTGATGGTCGTGGCTCTGGCTGATCGGCTGGATCTAGGGGTAGTTGGTGGGGTGATAGGTCATGGCTCTGGTCAATTGGCAGGGTCTAAGGGTGGTGGGTGAGCTCTTTGCTGAATGGAGAGGAGAGAGACCAAGCTCCCATTGGGTGAAATAGGATCCAGGTCCTGATTGGCTGAGGTAGGATCCGGGTCCCAATTGGTTGAAATAGAATCTGGGAGCTTGCCCTTTCAGTAGGACTATTTGGTTGATTCCTAGAGGAGAATTAATCCCAGGCTCTAACTTCCTGTGCTCTGAGAGCAGCCCCCACCTCTGCATGGGGATGTACTTCCTATCTGTCCCTCAAAGGCTCACTGATCATTCCCTGTAGCCCTCAGGTGAACTGGCTTGGAAGTCGTTCCACTGTTGGGTGGGGACTGTGGATGCCAGCGAACTGCCCTACTTTCCAGAAAGTCTGCTGCAACCCCTTCCTGCTCAGCAAGTCCTCATTCCAGGCAGCTGACCTTGCATTTACCCTCACCATATAAACAGAACTGGGAAATTACATTTGGAAAGGGAATCTCCAACAGAAATGGAAGATGAAAACTCCAACATGTTCGGAATGCAATACAAAACTGACGGCACATGAATTTTCTTACCTCCTGGGCCTCTGGAACTCCCCTCCCATTTTCTTTTTAGAACCTTGCTTTTGGTGTTGGAACAACTATCTCTCCCTAAGTCTTAATTCTGTGGTCTTCTTATATGGCTTCCTAGGGGTGGAGAGGCCATTTGACAGAGTGGATAAAGGGAAGGAATCTGGGACAGGTAACTCCTTGTTGAATTATTTAATGAACCAACCCAGAATCTGCCTAGATTTCATGTTATTTAAGACAATAAAATTCTCTTTTCAGGCCACTTCCGGTTGCAGATTGTCACAGCTGAAACATCCTAATTGTCACAGGATAGAAGAGGAAATCTTGTTACAATGTTGAGAAAGGTTGGAGTAGGAGCTGATAAGAGGTCTCAGGGGGCCTTCTTAAGGGCAGTGCTACTCAAAAGTGTGGTTTCATGGAACTGCAGCATTGGAATTACCTAGGGGGTTGGTAGGAATGCAAATTCAAGGGCTTCACCCCAAACCGACTCTAAGTCCGGGGAGAGGAATTTCCGGGGCAAAATACCTCTAAAAACCAAAATCAGTCAAATGGGGAAATAAAGTTTAAAACCCGTTTATTGCTTACAAAAATCCAGTCCAGCTCTTCTCTCTCTCCTGTTCAAGCAGCAGCAAAAAACCGCCCCTCCCCTCCCCTCTCCGGTGCAGATAAGCCATCCTAACGCATTGATATGGAGATGAACTTTTCTCCACCCCCAAGGAATGATGCAAATGCACGTTTCTTTCCACCTCTGAATGCTTACTGATACGTAGATGTACTAAAGCCAGGCGAGATATTCTGGAAATATTACAATTTTACCCACACCGACCAAATAGGATTCCGTGGAAGCAGGACTAGGAATTTTTCCTTTAGCAAAGGTCCCCATTCAGGGATTTTGATGCAACTAAAGTTGAAGAAAACACTAACCTAGGAGACTTTCAAAAATTGGGAGTGAGATTAGTCTAACAGGAAATGCTGTGCCTCAGCTCATTGCTGACATCCCTGAAGTTGTTCTAATGCTGGAGGCCTCAGTTTCCTTTTCTGTAACAACAGTGTGAGAATCAGATGAGGAACTGGGTATAAACATGGTTTGAAAGAGCTAAAACCTTGGACCCCAGGAGAAGCCTTGAGCTGATGTAGTACCTACTAGGGGACACAGCATCCGAGCTTCAGACAGCATCGCCAGCCCGTGCGCCTCCATTTGTGTGGCCAGGTGCCCAGCGGAGGAACCGGCACAACCCGGGAGGAGTCACCGCCATTCTTAATTGAACGCAACTCCTCCTAACTTGAGTTTTCTTTTTCGGATGCTTGCTGGAGTCCATCTGGAAGGACTGGAAACGCAGGTTTCGCCCAGGAGCTGGAGAAGGCTCCGGCCCCGCCGCAGCGCTGCCCCGCACGCACTCTGCGATGACCTCTGCCTGCGCCTCCCCTGGGGTGACCCGACCCTACCCCCGCGATTTCCCTGGCTTTAACGCCCGAGAAAGCCCAGGACCCGTTGAAAGACTGAGTCGTGAACTATGCCTCCTCTCACGTTACTAGACGTCAACCCCGAAGGTGGTGCCACCCTCCGACCCGAGCAGAAGGCCCGGCTTAGAGGTGGCTGGCGCCCTGTTCGCCTGAGTGTTACTGAGCGCCCGCTGCCCCTTAGGGCCAATCAGAGCAGGGCAGGCGAACAGCCCGGCTCCCTGTGGCCACTCGGGCCCAGGCTGGAATCGCCGCCTGCTCTGGGAATGGGCGAGTTTCCTGCCAATCAGTGACGGAGCAAGCGGGACTCGCCAATAGCGAGCAGCGGCTGGGTCAGGCCCGTGGCCCTGTGGTCGGCGGTGGTCTGCGAGCCAGTCTGCGCTGAGAGCTGCCGCCCTTCGACCCGCGCTGCGCTCTCGGCCCCTGCGGCCCCGCCCGCCGGCAGCGCCACGTCATGCCGGGCGCTGCTACGCTATAGTGCCCGGGCCGCCGCCCCCCGCTTGCCCGCCCGTCAGCCTGCCCGAAGCCTCGCCCACTGCCCAGAGCCAGAGGGATGGTGGTAGTCACGGGGCGGGAGCCAGACAGCCGTCGCCCGGACTGTGCCATGTCCAGCTACGACACCGAGGACGACTTTCTGGAGCCGGCCACCCCGACGGCCACGCAGGCGGGGCACGCGCTGCCCATGCTGCCCCAGGAGGTACCTGGGCAGGGGCCGGGCTGGGAGATGGGGGCGTGAGAGGGCGCAGAGCGAGAGGTATGTGCTGGGTAGAGCTGACCTTGGGAGTCAGGGGTCGAGCTGAGGACAGCCCCAGGGGTGCTCCCCTGACCACCCACCCGTAAAACGTACCAGGTGAGTCTTCCCTGCCCCAGGGGGCACCTGGCCCTCACCCCCCTCCTTCCTGAAATTCATTGCCTGCAAGGTTGAATCACTCCCTAAGGCCCTTGGACCCCCAAGAGATGACAGTGTCTTCTAGGAAATCCAAGAGGAGAACTTGGTGCTTGCCCAAACCCAGCCTCCAGCTGCCCAGAGAGAGGGGTAAGGGACTGTCGGATAAGCAGCAGTCCAATTAATAGATGTGTCCACTCACCTGGTGTGGCCAGCTCCAAGGGCTTTCCCTCACTACCTGCTGTGCTGTGATGCAGGGTGGCTTTCGCTGGTCTTAATGTGTGTGGCAGTATCAAATTAACACCTGAAATGACGCACTGGAGAAGGGAAAGGAGGAGGGAAGGTGGGGCACTGCTGGCCACTGAAGACAGAGACTAGGAGGTAGGACCCAAGGGAATGCCGGATGCGGGAGCCTGTGATGTGTGGAGTCCTAGGTGAACGGGCAGAGCCCCAGAGGGGCAGCATCGGGCCGGCTGGGCTGGGTGAGGCTCTGGGGAAGCAGATAGAGTTCTCTTGGGGCTAAAAGCTGGTATTCCCAACATCGTGGGACACTTGTGAAAAGAAAAAAAAAAAACTCGAGAACTCCTTGCAATTGAAAAAAAGTGCTACTAGAGACTCGGTGCTATTTTTTTTGTGCAGTCCCTGGGCAAATGGTGTGGCTTAAGGGTAAGAGCACAGGGCCCACAGACTGTAGGCCAGGATCCCAGTGCCCACTCCCCAACAAATTACATTGCTCCATGTGAGCTCTAAACCTGTTTTTGATTGCTTTTTCCTCTCTGCTTCAGTCTTTTCATTTCTAACATGGAGCAAACACTTAAATTGGTACAAGGTGTCCTTGGAAAAAGTTTAAAAAGCTCAATAAGTGTAAAAGTATTATTATCCCGAAATAATACTTGAGTCCTTTGTATACATGTAGAATAGTTTTAGAGGAGCTATAGAATAAGCAGAAGGCATTTGTCCCTTGGGTGCAGAAGAGTAACAGTATAAAAATACCCAGAACTGTAAACATCTGTTTATTTCATTCATTCAGTGCAATTTGGGTCTTTACTGGGAGCTAGGCACTGCACAGGCTTGGGTAACTTTGAATTAATGTATTTGTATCCTACTTTATTTCACAAAGAATTTGACAGTAGGGAAACAGGACTGTCTCGATAAGAATATGTATCATGTAGCCCAGGGAGATGTTAATATTGAAAAGTATGTACTGGGATAAAATTTTAGTTTATATGGAGGAGGTTTGTGGGAACTTAAAGCTTCTTGGGGAAAATGTACACCATCATTCCCTGTTCCTCACCCTGCCCTTGCCTCCAGAACCTTCTCTGGACTGGGGACTAATCTCATTCTACAGTTTAAGTAGTAGAGAGGTGGCGAGTACTGACACTGAGGAGTGGGTGCCTAGAGTCATCAACAAACATGTACAGGCTTTAGTGGATGGTCTCATGATTGATGAACAAGTACGTATTCACTTACAGTCACTGGAGCACCTTGTGCTTGATGCTCTTTCCAGTAACTTGTTACAAACATACACTGAATTCATAAACATCTCCCTGTAAGGCTGTTCAGTAGGTATGTACTTTGACTCAATGCAGTAACACTGCCCTCAATAGGCCTTGCTTGTGGTTTTGAAAGAAATGAGGCCAATTTTATCTAATTTTCTCATAAACCTCCTCCAGATTAACTAAAATTTTATCCCAGTGCACACTCTTCAGTATTACAAGAATGCTGTCCCTGTCCTCAGGAAGCTTGGGGTCCAGTCAGATGGGCCACCAGAAGAAAACTGCCACTGTGCTGTGCTAGGCACTATAATAGAGGAAAGTGTGGCATATAGTGAAGGCACAATGGAGAGAATGTTTAGTTAACTCTGTCTTGGGGGCAGGCAAAGGATAATAGAGCAGAAATGCTAACAGAGTAAGACAACTTGAATAGAAGGTTTTAGAATGAGTGGATACTGTGGTGTCTTGGTATGAATTGGAAAAAAGGCACACAGCTTGGCTAGCACCCTCAAGGTGCTCTTGTGCATTGAACAGTATACACCACCATATGGGGCAACTGCATTTGCTAGATGGATGGAGGGAGAGTGGGAGGAGCATTTTGGACAGAGAAGACAGCATGAGCAAGGGCACAAAAATGGTAAATTCAGGAAGAGGAGGAATAGTAGTGAAGACTTTGAACTCTAAGCACAGCATTGGGGTGGAGAGACCTGATTTAGAGTTTTCAGGGGGTTCTGGGTAGGACTTGACAACTGCTGAGTGTGGGGAAAGGGAGTCCATTGGGAACGCCTGCTGGGATTTGGCTGTGGGTGACTGAGTGAGTGGCATGACCCTCATTGGGCCCAATGAGCCTGCGGCAGGAGCAGCCCCAGCTCTCCTATCCCAGGCCTGGCTGAGAGTGCTGGTGGTTCCTTCCCAGTTCCCTGAGGTTGTCCCGCTGAACATTGGAGGGGCACACTTCACCACACGCCTGTCTACCCTGCGGCGCTGCGAAGACACCATGCTGGCAGCCATGTTCAGCGGGCGGCATTACATACCCACCGATGCTGAGGGCCGGTACTTCATTGACCGGGATGGCACGCACTTTGGGTATGATTCGCCCTCTGTGATCAGCTTTGTAGTTGTAGAAGTGAGTCACCTGGGCTTTTGTATCTACTGATGGTATTTAATACATGTGCTTATTGAATTGCATCAAATTCTTAGTTGCTTTCCCAAAGGGGAAGCAACTAAGACTGTTGCTACATCCTATGCAGTTTAAGACCAGAAATTGTCATCTGCATGGAGTATATGTGATCCCTCCTAGAGATGGGGGAGTTCCAAAGCAACTTCTTAGAGAATATCCACAGATGGGATACTGGGCTCAGCATTTCCATTAGGGAGGAAGATGGTATGTGACAGTGATTCCCAGACTTTGAGTACTTTAAGACAAACAAAAAAGATGAGTGAATGGCCAGTATTAGGGCTGCCATCCTTTAATTTTGCCAAGAAACACCTTTAAAAAAACACCTTCAAGTATTACTTTAACACTAAAATATGGAAAAACAGACACAGTGTCCAAAAAAAAGAGCTCTTCCCAAGAAAGGACTTCTGACAACCTTACACAGAAACAACTTGAAGGCTTTATGTTTCCATTTCCTTGTTTGTGAAATGAGAAATAATTATAGCTGCCTTACAGGCCTGTCATGTGGGTTAAATAGAATCTTGCTGTGACCCTTGGCCAGGTCCTTTTAGAGTATGTAGCTGAAGCCCTTTGCCCCTTCATTCTACCTTCGTAGATGACCCAACATGGTCCTTGATCCTAAACGAATTGACAAAAGGGGCAGAAACTCTCCAGCCACTCTGTCTCTGTGCTGACCTCCAGGTCGGGTTGACCGTGCTGGGAGAAGGGTCATTTTTATCCTCAGAAAGGAGGCTCTGGTCAGATAATTTGCTTTGAGGCATCTGTGTTTCCCCACTGGGCTAACAGCTGCCTCCAGTGCTGAGAAAACAAAGCATCACATCACTCTGCAGAGCTATAAAAAGATTTTTGTTTTCAGGCTGTCTGGGGGATGACAGGGCTGGCCCCTGCCGGCAGCCCCCCGGCACTCTCAGCTGGGCCTTGCCCCAGGGTTATGTTTTTCAGAGCTCACCAAGTTGTGCTTAAGATCCTAGAGGACTAATTTTGGAAGGGGTGGTGGGGAGGAGAAACAGGGTTTGGCTCTAGGCTGATGTGCCCATGCCTAGGTGGCCATGGCCCCAGAGGGGCATAGCCAGACAAGGGTGTGGCAGAAAGCAGGATAGTGGCATTTCCCCTCCAGCTGCTGGACCCCAGTGGCCTATGATTCAGCAGCAGCAGCTGAAGCTGTTGAAAGATCAAAAAGGGTGAGCACATTTGGTGGGGTATAACTTCTCTGTTGATACAGCTCACATACCCCCAGCACCCACCATGGAGGCTGCCTGGGCCTCCATCTGGGGCAGTTTCCCCATTATGATCAGTGCACAACACTTTGGACTGAAGTCTAGACCAGAGTGGTTGTGGACTTGAAGTCACCGTGTCTGTATCTGGGCATCCGGCTAGCTGCGGCTCCTCAAGCAAGGGTGTTCCTTAATCTCTCAGAGCCCCGCTTTTTCCTCATTAATAAATTGGATATAAGATAGCACTTACCCCAAAAATCATTGCAAGAATTGAATATGATAACACATGAATAGTGGCTGACACGGATTAATGCTCATAGACTAACCTTGAGGTACTAGCTTACTCTTAGGGCTTACTCACATATCCTTATGGAAAAGCCCTTCCCCTCCCTACTGTGATGTCAGTGATGTGTCTGATTATTCTTAACACTAAAGAATCAGAAGAGACAATTAACAGAATTTTTATTTTAAGAAAGCACAAACCAATTTCTTCAGACATTAGGGTTAGGCATTTGATCTCCCTTTAGCTTCAGAATAAGACTAATGGGCAAGGATGTGTAAGCATCTGTGTTTCCCCATTGGGCTGTCTCTAACCACTGTGAAGTACTGCCCAGGTCTCTTATCTCCTTCCCCCCAACCCGGTTTCCCTCTTGCTCAGAGATGTGCTGAATTTCCTGCGCTCAGGGGACCTGCCGCCGCGGGAGCGTGTGCAGGCTGTGTACAAAGAAGCCCAGTATTATGCCATTGGGCCTCTCCTGGAGCAGCTGGAAAACATGCAGCCACTGAAGGGGGAGAAAGTACGCCAGGCATTTCTGGGACTCATGCCCTATTACAAAGGTGAGAGGTCAACTGTCAGGAGCAGTCAGAGTGTGGGGAAGGAGGGTTGCGAGGCATCTGCCAGTGCCTGGTCTCCACCAGAACGTGCGGGGCAGAGATTCATCTAAATTACTCAAGATAGGAGAGGGTGCTGTTTCCCTCTCTGCCCTCTCCTTGCAGTCACAGGGGAGAGTCAGGTTAAAAACTTGCCTGCGAGAGTCATCAAATTGCATTTCTCAAGGACAATGCATGTCCCATCCCACTGGTTTTCTTTGCTGCGGAGAACCTGCCTCCCTGTTTAAGTTTGTGCCCTTCACAGGTCCACAGAGCCCCTTCCGCAGGCATCTTTCTCTCCTGTCTTGGATCCTGCCATCCCCAGGGGCCCTCTCTCTGCCCTCGTGCTGCCTTGCCCCACCCCCACTCCTTAAGCCCCTTCCCAGTGATGGTGTGTGTTCACCTCCACAGACCATTTGGAGCGGATTGTGGAGATTGCCCGGCTGCGTGCAGTGCAGCGGAAGGCCCGCTTTGCCAAGCTCAAGGTCTGTGTCTTCAAGGAGGAGATGCCCATCACCCCCTATGAGTGTCCGCTTCTCAACTCCCTGCGCTTTGAGCGGAGCGAGAGCGATGGGCAGCTCTTTGAGCACCACTGTGAAGTGGATGTGTCGTTTGGACCTTGGGAGGCTGTGGCTGATGTTTATGACCTGCTGCACTGCCTGGTCACAGACCTCTCGGCCCAGGGCCTCGTCGTGGACCACCAGTGCATCGGGGTGTGTGACAAGCACCTCATCAACCACTACTACTGCAAGCGCCCCATCTATGAGTTCAAGATCACATGGTGGTGAGTAGCCCTGGGAGGGAACAGAGTCCTATCAGGGCGGGTGTCCATCCCCTTGGTGGTTCTGGGAGTAAGATCCCTGGCGGGCTACTGACTGCCCTAGAACCTGCTGAGGTAATGACCAAGTCCCGAGGTGAAGCTCCAGTCTCCCCAGGTGCACTCTGGGGTCAGGCTCAGGGCTTGTGGCCCATGGGACCTGGTGCCAGTGCTCACCTGGGCTTTCCCCAAGGCTCAACAGTCTTTGCCTGATGCTGATGGGGTCTGGCTAGCTAGGGCTTGATCAGGAAGTGCAGAGAGGTTTTGTCTCTTTCTTGACATTGCAAGAGAGTTTCTGGCCTTTTTAGAGCCACATTCCTAAACAAACAGGTAAAATCACCTCCTGTGCCCTGCTGATGTACCCCTCCTTGTGCTCAGTGTGCAAGTGTGAACATAGACTGTGATGGGGGGTTACCCAAGTAGTCACCCCACAGCCCCTGGCTGACAAAGGAGCACCTTCTCTCCCTCCTCCCTCAAGAATAAGTCCCACACTTTGGTTTAGGATGTGAAAAAAATATTTTCCTTCTGAAACATATTCTTCCCTTTTTGGAAATGTAAACCATAGTTGCCAAAGCCATGCACCAGGTTGGCCTTAGAAAAGCACAATGTTTACAGCCCTGCCTTAGGGCCTTGGCTTCTCCTACCTTCCACCAATCTTACTTGCTTGAGGGGTTATCGTCTCACAGGGCTGGAATACAAATTTTAAGCTGTTTTGAAGATTCCCTAAGTCAAGGAGTTAAGATGCCTAGATGTAACATCCTTTCTAGAGGCTCAGAATACCTTCTTAGCTGCCATTTCATGTGTTAGGATCCAGCTCGTGGTGAACCTCCTTGGAAGGATACCCCTCTTATTGACACCCTGTTGCTTTATCCTGCCAACATTCTCCTTCTAGGAGAGTGTCCTGTTCTGGGGAAATAAAGAAAGGGCTGGGGGCGGGGGTGGTACAGCTCTCCTGGGAACTGTAGGAACACAGCAGCAACCTCCCTTATGCTTTACGACCCACATTTCCAGGAGAAAAAGACTTGCAAGGTTACGCTCCCGTCAGGATATAGATACACATTCCCTGAAGGAAGAACTCAGTAGCTCCAGGAATTGGAATGTATTATTTCTGTGCTGCTCTAGGGGCTTCTCCCCGTAATCACGATTGTCCTTGACTGTTTCTGGGTGCTCCTGTAGGGAGATTTATATGTAAAAACCTGGTGAGGGCAGCCTCATTGGCCTCACTTCTAAATGACCAGGCTAGTGAGAGGGCAAGGGGAAGCTGAAGATTCTGCATCCTTCTGAGAAAGCCAAGCCCTGGGACCTTGGCTGAATTCCTTCCTGGGGGCAGTAACCACCCGGCACCTGTGTGAGAACAGAGATTCCAGGGCATGGGTTTTCTCTCTGAGGTTGTATTCTTGTGTGGGTGGAGCAGTGGGGCCGACTGAGAGAGGAAAGTACAGTCAGTCTCTCAGGTTTGGAGATAACTTGTTCTCTCTGTTGCTGAGAGCTGTGTGTCTCAACAAATGGATCATCACTTTTCTGGAGCTGACGTCACTGCTTGAAGCTTAGCCCAACAGCATGGCTCTTGCCTTGTTCTAACAAAAAAGTCTTTCATTTAGGTAGCTTGATTGGTGTAACTACCTAATACAAGTTCCTCTTTGGACAGTCACCAAGGTGATATGTTCAGGAGGAAGTCAGAGAGCAGATGGTTAAGGCCAGTGCTTTCCATGATCCAACCATGGTCCCTTCTCTCCCCCACTACAGCACAGAGCATCAGGTGCTATGTTTGGAGTCCATCCCTGCAAGGAAGGGAGCAGCTGGGGCACTCAAATTCAGGTGTGCTCAGAAACAGGCACTTGCGTGGGGGTAAGAGCTGTGCTCTTGCTGGAGACACCCGTTTCTCTGTTCCCCTGTTGTCCTCATGGTGGCATGCTCTGGGCCCCTGTGGAGAGACAAAGCTCTGAGCCTGTACAGCAGGGACATGGCAGCCAGCTCAGACCCCTTTCTAAATGAAGGAAAAGCATTTGGTGGCCCAGTTTGGCCACTCTGATGAGAAGCCAAGGCCAGGCTGGAAAGGGCTTTTGGATGTGGTGGCTTGTGGTAATGGGCTCCAAATAAAGGTCATCTTTGAGAAAGTGACTTCTCCCAGTAGGATCCCTTGCAACTCTAAATGGCCAGGCCCAGAGTATAAGAAGGGTTGGGTCAAGAAGGAGGGCTCCATCAGATGAATGCTTCTCCCTCGTCAACAGGAAGCATATTTTCATAGTGCTTATGCATAGTGCCAACTGGTCAAACTGGTGCTTGTCTTTGGAGCTTCCCTATGTTTGACTTTGGGCACCTTTTCTCCCACGTGCCATGCTCACTGGTTGGGGAGATGAAAGCGTTAGGAGATGAGGCTGTATTGTACAATAGTACCCATAATGAAATTCAGTAAAAGTGAAAAATATAAAGGCAACAGAAAAGATTGAAACAAAACCACAGTGAAACACATCACACTATCCCAGGTCAAGGAATCCTTTGGGTGACACTCAAATTGAAGAAACAGAGGAATCCTCACCATCCTTACTCTATCTCTGGTTAAATCACCAGGCAGTCCAGTGTTTATCATGTGGAAAGGCATCAACTGCTCTGGAAGGGTTCTGTTCTTTCTTCCTGGGGCTTAAGATATTCTGGGAGCTGTCTGAGCCTTGTGCCTCAGGCTGATGAGATGATATAATCTTCCTGTGCTGGGTTGCTCATTGGAGGACTAGAAAATTGACATTTGGAAGCCACAAAATGGGGTGAGCCTCAGTGTATGATCTTGGTCTAAGTTGGACCCTGAAGAGGTTAAGACAAACAACAAAAAAACAAAAACTACCCACACTGAGTATTTTGATAACAATTAGAATATCTTCCTTCTGCATACCTTCTGTCCATATGATTTTGATTTAAGTGATTAAGCTTTCTTGGGTGCCATTTTGCCAGGGCTCTTTGATGAAGGGAGCACCTGCCTCATGATCCCTTAAAGAAGGAGACTTTATTCATCAGAATCCAGAGTGTTGGGAACTGGAGTGGGAGAGGTACTTTTGGAATTCTGGAAGAAACATGTATACATACATTAATTGGGTAAAGGGTGGGCTGGCAGAGGGTTGGAGGAGGTGGGAACAAAAACTGGTTGTAGGAACAGTCAGTTGCCTCTGGAGAATGGAAGGTCCCCTGGGTCCACTGTCTTCCTTCTGTACAGTGTTGGGTCTTTCCACACAGTATACCACTTCCTGTGTTTGTTTGTGACCTGTCTGTGAGTGCTTTGGTGCATGGAGCCTCAGTTCCCTTACATGGCATTAAAGTCAAGAATTAGAACCTGGTGCTGTGTCTTTCTTTTTTAGAGACTTCCTCTCATCCCTCCTTTGCCCCCCTTTGCCAGCAAATATGTCCTGACCTCTGCTTAAAATATGATGTGTTTGGGATGTCACACTAAATAAAACAGGCTCTTCCCTGAGACCAGCACCTGAACTTCTTCCCTGACTGAAGCTGAAGGGGGATGGGCCCCACAAAGGCCCTCCTGCAGGTGCCCTAGCTTTTGGTCTGTTCCAGCCAGGAGTGTGTCCACCTGGCCTGGGCAAGTGCCCTGCTCTCTTCTGTTGAGAGGTCTTCAGGGGAACACAAGTCAGGTAGTTCTGAAAAATATCCCTCCTGTCATAGCACCACTTCTTTCCAAGGGAGAGAGAAGTAGCTCTAAGCTCATGTGAGCCTCAGTGGTTAAGAACCTTCCTTGAAGAAAACTGACATAAGTTGCCCTTCCTCTGAAAGCAGAGTTTGACAACTTTCTGGCTGAGTGTCCTCATGAAGATTCCTTCGGAGTCACTTCATGAACAGCCCACAAAGGTGAGTTCTGAAGTGCTGGGTAGCTCTGCCACCTCTAACTAGTGCCCTTAAATCTCCGAACATCTGGCTTACAGACCAGAGTACTGCCTCACCTGTGCAGTTGTATCCCTGACCTAATTTCTGGGCCCACAATCACACAGTAATAATGCACTTTAATAATACCTTATAAATTGAAAACTGAAGCTCCTAGAGGTGTTGTTTCCCCAAGGGCACATAGCTAGTTAGTGGCAGAGGCAGAACTCAAACTCAGAGCCCTTTTCTGAAGTCCTCAGGGGTGTTCCACTGCAGAGCCTCTCTTCCTCCTGGCAGCTCAGTGTCCCACCTCTGCAGCTCTGGGCTTCCCCTTGCCTCACCTGGGAAGATTTGAAAAGCACATACTCTAGAAGGAATAGTAGAAAGACTTCCTCAGGTGTGTATGTCTTATGTGGCCCCTGAGCATTAAGGAGATAGATGGAGTCTCCAATTTATTGTCCTCTTTAGTGAGTGACACATGTCCACAAGGTGGAGATGGGCCCTGCTCATGGGGCAATTCATGGAGGATGATTTAGCAGGTGAGTAATGGTTCCCTGGCTGGGCCTTGGGTGTGGCGGCATGATCCAGGACAGCCGAGGTCATCAGACTTTTGCAGCCTACAGGTCTGACCACCCCAGATGTGCTGTGCAACCTGACCATGTGAAGAGGTATGCCTGGGGCCACAGCCCTTCTTCAGGTATGCCTAGCACCAAGAGAGTAACTGATGGGAGCTCTTCATGTCAGGGCACATTGTGTGCCTGGCTTGGGGCCCATGGTCCTTGTATTCTGGGTCTCTACCCTGCCTGTGTGTCCCTTTGTCTTCATTTTGAAGATGACTTCTTAGCTGGCTTTACTTTTCATTTTCATTTGTTTAACTTACAAGCATGCTCCTTTAGCTTTTGTTTACTTACCTTTAACCTTCTATCCTTTCATTCCTTACCATTTTGTTTTTCTTGTCATGTATTTCAGCTTTCTCTATTTTTTAAACATGATTTTAAACTTTATTTCTAAAATAACATTTTAATAAAGTAATGTATGAACAGGATGCCAGTGAAGGTAGTTCTTGTTCTAAACAATAGTAATTATGTGCTTTTTTTTCTTCTTCATTCATTTCTACAGTGATCTTAGTAGCCATGAACATTAGGCACCTTCTTTCTCCCTTAGACGAGTATCTTCTAAAACCTCAGTAGAGGGAAAAACTGAAAGTGGCATTAAAGCATTAGAAAAGTAATATATCTGGGTTATCTACTAGATCAAATAGCCACACTTCTGCACACCATCTGAGATGTACCCACTAGTCTGACACACACACATAGTAACAGTAAGTGCAGCCTTTGGAACAGGGCAGTTCTATTCCTGCTAAGGACTTCTTCCCTCAGACAATGGTTCTTTTTGAGGAGTGACATGATCTACAGATCCTGGGAGTCCACATCTCCAGCCACCTGATGCCAGGTGGCAAGAGGACTGTTTTGCATCAGGAAAAAATCCAACACAAAGCCAAAGACTTAGAATTGAACCATCGAGAAGCACTCCGTAAGAGGGACGCAGATCAGATTATGAAGCATGTTTTCCAGCCTTTTGTGATCTCAGTAGCAACCTGATTCACCTTTCAACAAATTATGACTTTCAAAGGATTCTCCTAATGTGTTACAGGCTCTTATTTTTTTACCTACATCATGTGATCTTGGCAGGTGGCCCAGCTCCAATAGATCTTAGGAATAGATGTATAGGTTCTTCTCTCAGTTATTTAATCAAGACAGAATCCCAAAGAATTTGGAGTTTGACCTCCATTAAAAGAAGCTTTTAAGTTGAGAGTTTGGAGTTGAAGGAATTTTTTTGTAAGGAATTGGAGAGTATCATGAATAGGCTTAACTCTCTGGAATTGTATCAACTTCTATAAATGCCTTTATTAGTGTGTTTCTTAAAATGAAACCCTATCACCAGCTGCACCTTGGCTTCCTCTGCCCTGTGGGACAGCCCCTTGTGTGGGTGCATGTGGGTGCTTACTGCCCCTACTCTCACCATGTCATCTCCACCTCCTCCCGCTGCCCATGACTGTTTTGTTTTTGGCATTTTAAGCCTGGTTGGTCACTTCTGGCCATACCTCATCTGGCATCTGGTAGCCAGCCGCAGCTGTGCACTTTGCCTAGCTACCCACTTCTTACCTTTAGGCAGGTAGGTGCTTTGTGCACTGAGGTCCCTGCTTTCCAATGCAGCTTTCTCATCTGGCTTTCTAGGATCTGAAGAGCATTTTTAGCCCCTCTAAGCTCTGTATCCATCTCCACAGTAGCAGTGGAGAAGGCACACAGGACCCACTGAGAAGACAAGTTAGCTTCACCCTCCCCTGTCCCAAGAAGGGAGAACTGAAATACCTTAATTGGAAACCAAGTTCACCAAAAGCTTCCTAATGAAACTATGGACTTTCCTGTTGAGCTGACCACACAGATCACTATCAGCTGAAATGAGGATGGCATTTGTCACTTGGTGCTCCCAGCAGTCAAAGCAAAATGTATCTGCCTCCAGAGATTCAGTAAGTATTCCACCAGTTGCCTAATGTTATTCTTCAAAATGCTGCTCTATTTGGAAACTCCCATTGGTTCCAAGAGGCAGAACATTGAAGAATCCCCTCTGCAGTCACCTGCAGAATATATTCCACCATATCCCCAGCTGGGCCTTGAGCCCAGAGGATTCCACTAGGGTGGGATTTGTTACCTGATTTTGAAGTCCTGTCAATGGAATGGCAATCCTCACGGCAATCCTCACCCCTTTATGCCAGCAGCACACCTGAGACAACCTGGATTTGTGGATTGAGATCCAGGGGTATCTGCACGGTAATGGACAAGAAAGTGATGTTTCTTAGGTGGAAGGCTTCCAGACTCAACTGTGCCCCAAAATTTCTGGGGTTTATAGTTAGTACTGGCCATTCATTCATGACCCTCAACTTCCCCATTTGACCATTCTATCTTTTTAAGAAGTGCTTCACCTAATCTCTCTCCTAAGTACACAGGAGTCCAATAGCTGAAAACCTGTACATCTTTTCTCCTATCCTGGCCTTATGCCACCAATGCACACACTTCAGCACCTTGTTAGGAGCCACCCGGAAGCACAGCATGGGCAGCCTCTGACCCTCTGTCTCCACAATACTGGTGTTGGCTGGCCAGCAACCTTCATAGGTGTGAGAGTTGCAATGCAATCAACAGATTCAGGATCTAGGGGGACCATTTGAAAAAAACCTCTTCAGGGGTGTCTGTCCACAGGAGCCCAGAGCAGTCTAAGTGGAACTGGGAGCTTGGTCCACACAATGGGGCAAGCCACATTTTTCAAACATTTTGGCTTCAGAAGGTACTCCACTGAATACACAAGATCACAAAAGGCCAGCAGAGGAATTCCAGCTCTGATATAGCTGAGAGATGCCCCTGCAAGCTGCAGGGAGGTACCCATGTACAGTAGCAGCCAGCCAAGACTAGAGCTCCCAAAGTGGACATAAAAAGAGACTACATTCTCTTACAATAGCTGATTGGTGGGCCAGGAGAAGAAATTGCACTCAGATGATCTTGCTTCACCCTTTTGACATCCCATGTGCCTTTACATCTCACCCATTCAAAATGGAAAATAATATATAGAGACCTGGGATCTTACATCTAACAGTCTGTATGGGTCTTGAGTGATCCTGCCTGCATTGCATTTAGAGTCATTTGTATTAGGAGGAAAAAAACCATATGGTAATTTGAACAATTTATATCATTAGTATAAATAAAAAGCTATTAAATATAATAGGATCAGAGTAATGGGTTGGCTAATAGAATTAAAAAAAAGTATAGGAACAGCAGATACAGAAAGCAGCCACTACTTTTATGGCTGAGATAGAGGGGCAAAGGAGGAATGCCCCATCCCCCCAAAGCTGATATGCAGACCTTTCGAGAGAGGGCATGGCCATGGCTCACTGCATGGCAGAGAACTCACTGGGGTGGTGTGCTGGTGAAGCTGCTGGAGATCCACATTCTAGGGTGCTGGGGAAAATCTGTTCATGGGGATATGTATTGCCAGAGAAATTCTCCTACAAAACCACTCAAAGAGAGTGCTGCAGAAAGCTCCTGGCCTCTTTGTGCTCCTGACTACCAGGCACGGAGTAACTGGTGTGCTGTGAGTAAGCACACCAGAACCAGAAAAGAAAATATCCTCCCCCTTGTAATGTCTCTCCAACATCCTCAAAGCTCAATGTCATGCTAATTGGCAAGGGAAAAACTATTGAAAGGTGCCAGCCCAGTTTTTGCAGAAGCGATGAAGGATGAGTATGGAGCTAAGAGGCAACCAATAGCACAGATCACCTATGCTGATGACTCCCAAATTTATATCCCTGCCCAGCAGACATCTTTCCTCAGCCTTGAATTATATACCCAATGACCTATTAAATATTGCTACTTCAGTATAAATAAGCCATCTCAAACTTAATATATCCTAATGGAATTCTCTGTTTCCTCTTCCCACCTCAAACATTTTTCCCATTCCATATTCCCTCAGTCCTCAAAACCTGAGAGTCACCATTGACTCCTTTCCTCACCTTCTACTTGCAATCCATCTTCAAGATGTATCTTGAAAACATTCACAGATTTGTCCAAATCTCCATCCTCTCTCACCCTCCATTACTACAAAGTCCTCTTGGCTCAATTTGGCCTCTGATTACCCCCTTTAAATATTCTGCAGAATAGTTCTTTGAAAGGGTTGATTAGATTCTACAATATGACTACTTAAAACCATTGCTTTTAGAACGAAATAAAAAAGACCACGTTTGGTCTGGTTCCTGGCCAACTCTCCAGTCTCATCACACCACCATACTCCTTGCTTCCCATCCTCCACCCTGGCCTTCTTTCAGTTCCTGCCTCCAGTTTTTGTGATCCATATTCCCTCTGCCTGGGATGCCCTTTCCCCAGCTCTTCTCATTCATGACTGGCTCATTTTCATATTTTATGTTCTAGCTCAAATGTCACATAATTAGTGAGACCTCTGACCACGCCATCTAATGTATACTCCCATTACTGTCTATCACATCACCCTGTTTATTTCCTTTATAACATGTATTATCAATAGTAATTATCTTGTTTGCTATATCTCTTTTTCCTTTCAAATAAGCTCCATAAGGACAGAGATTCTGCCTCTATTGTTCACAACTATATCCCAGTGCTTAGAGCAGTATCTGGAAAAGATGTGCCCAGTCAAAATCTGTCAAGGGATCTGTCTGGTATATGGACAGGAGACCTCTTAGGGCATCTTAGTACACCATACCCTGTGATTAAAGTCAATGGGAAACTACAGCAACCCAATCCAGGCAGGACTACTAATGGCTTAGACCTTTCATGAATTAGAGTCTGGATCATCCCCACAGGTAAAGGGATTAAGTATGAAAGATTAAGTATGATTTAAGGAGATGCATATGAGTGCCTAGGTGACAAGAGGTCGGTTGTAATGGTTAATTTAATATCTCAACTTTGTTGGGCCACAGTGCTCTGATATTTGGTCAGACATTCTGGATGTTTCCATAATGGTGTTTTTGGATGACATTTACATTCAGATCAGTGGACTTAGTAAAGCAGATTGCCCTCCATAATGTGGGTGAATCCCATCCAATCAGTTGAAGGCCTGAATAGAAGGAAAGGCTGACCTTGCCCAAGCATGAGGAAATTCTGATAAGAGGCTGCTTTAAGGCTTCATCTGTGACATTGGCTCTTCCTGGTCCATCAGCTGACTACCTTTGGGCTTGTGCTGCAACTCTTTCCTGAGCCTCCCGCCTATTAGCCTCCCCTATGAAGGTTTTAGACTCACCAAGCCTCCGCTGTGATGTGACCCAATTCCTTAAACTAATTCTCTTCCTATATATACTATATCTATCTGTCCTAGGATGGGTATATCTATCTCTTTGTATATATCTATATTCTAGAAAGAAATTTATAACGTCCTAGGAGAATACATATCTATAATTCTCCTAGGAGAATACATATCTATAATTAAGTCTGAAGATAGCATACATGTTCTGCCACTTGTACTATTCTCATTTAATATTATCTTTGGGGGATCTGTCCATTTCAGCGAGCTGCTCCTCCCCCTTTTAAACTCGATAATGTTCCACTTAAAGTGTGTTCCACTAAAGAACTTTTAAAAATAATTTCGCTGCCCTTTGAGATACACATGCATCTATTTATTGACAAATTAATAAGCTTTTCTATCCCACATTTAGGCAAATACAGTCCTCGATTCTCTTATTCTTGATATAAGACTACTTGGAAACATAAGAAAAAAATAAAAGATGGAGAAAAAAATAAAAGGTCTTGGGTTTTAGCTGATTCTATGTTAATAGGTTTGGGCCTTGGTTGCCTATAAAATTGTTTCAGTAAGAGAATGTAGTCCTTTTCTTATCAGAATGATCTGTTTTCCCTGATTGTTGATCCTAAAGAAAGTGGCTTAAATTATGTGGTTCCTGAACTGCTTGTCACTTGGGAACCTTGTAATCTGATAAACCCTTCTGCTATAACTATTATCATCCCCTTGAGTCCATTCCTGAGGCTTTCCCCCAGATTGCCTCATTCTTAGGCAACCTTTATCCATTGGAACAGAGATAGCCTTTGCCAGTTCTAGGATTACACTGCCGTTAGCAAAACCAGAGAAGAGTGAATCACTTTCCTGAAAGCTAGAGGACTTATGGGTAACTTTGATGCATTTGTTGTGGCCAGGGGAACAGCAGAGCACATATGAGCCAAGGGATAGGGTCATCAATGGCTGAACTATGTGGACCAATAATGTAGGAAGGTGTGGTTCCCAAAAGAGAAGCTAGGGAGACAAAAACATGCATCCTCTGCTAGTTGTATAAAACTGTATGCTCTCTGTTCAATGACAGACATTAGTCATGGCCACATTATATGAGTTTAGCACAGATGCCTAGCTGTTGTTAGGGTGTGGAAGTCTTACTCTGCAAAATTAAGAAAAAAGTATTTTCCTTTGTGGGGTGAAGTTAAAAAAAGGAATTTTAACTCCTTTTCTCTTTAACATATGTAAAATGGTTTGATACTGGTTTTTGATTAACTAAGAAATATACCCTGTTATATAGCAAGTAGAAAAATTCTCCTCCTCTATGATAATGATGTGATTTTACTATCACAAACCAGGTAAGCCTCATCAAGAAAGATTTTTTAAATATAATTTTTGCTAGAAATAATGGCACAGGATTATACAAAGCTAAAATTTCTGTCTTAGGCCACATTATCAAAATTTGATATGATGGTATAATTTGAGCACCAAAATAATTATAATGATCTGTAACCTGCCAAATAACAAAAATACATAAATTTATGTTGACACAAATAAATAATATAATAAAAGAAGTAGAAAGGAAACTTTGTTAGAGTAAAATGTCAGCTAATAAATATAGAATGAATGCTGAGACTAGAAAATCTTCAGTGGCAAACATCATAATTATAGCTGGTTTAGGTAAGACTCATCAATGGGTTCTAAAACTAATGGATGAAATTTTGAAGAAAAAGAGGATATTGGAGATGGATTAAAGACAGCGTGAGAGGTGAGACAGAGGCTTCCTTCTAAAACCGCATATAATACGAAAATATAAATAATACAACTAATCCTGAAAGGGCAACAGGAAAGAGGACTGCTCCAGACTGCATACACCTGGACAACAGAGCAGACCTCACAGAACAGGGTAACGTACCAAAGCTGTGGTCCAGTGGGACCCAAGCCCTTCCCACACCCCAGCTCACTGATGGCAGGAAGAGAAACAGAACAGGGAGGGAATGGAGGCCTGGCTGTTGAGTACCTAACACTGGAGATCTGCTCTAGGAGCACAAACCTACATTTCATGGTGCTTGCATGGTACTCTCATGATTAGGGGGTTGGAAAGCTAAGAAAGGCAGAATTCCTGGAGAGACTGAGATTCCAGCTGCATGCAGAAAGCAGGGATCCATATCTGGCTGCTCTGGGACAAAAAAAAAGGCAGGCAGTCTGAAAGACTTTCTAACAAGGAAGCCCTAAGCAAGAGGGATGCTAAAGGGGCAAGGATTTCACAGAGCTTATTGCTCAGGAGAAAGAACAGGTAGACAAAATTGTCCAGGTGCATTCTGCCCAGCAGGTTGAGACCTTTCATGATCGTCAGGTGCTACAGCTCCCTGGCTGGCTACCAGCTACAAGGACCCCCCTCCATGATATGCAGCCTACTGCGACTTTCTCCCGACCAGCCCCAACTGGCTCGCAAACCAGAAAACCCCACCCTTGCATTAGGCCAGCCAGAGGGAACATCTGTCTACAGCAACTACAAATGCAAAGCATAGAGGCTTATACCTGTGTGCTCTGCCCATGGGTTCAGGAAGTGCAGACAAGCATAGCAGCCAGGAAGCAGGAAACAGCTATTTCCATCCCCGAGGCACCAATACCACTCACCTATGACCCTGACATGGCTTCAGGGGCTGAGCAGCTCCAGGGAGTACAGCTTCTGGACACTATAGGGCGCCATATACAAATATGAAATGCCAAAGGAACCTGGTTCAAAGAAAAATTATGAATACAACTCCTGAGAAAGATTTAAATGACATTGACCTCATCAATCGCCTTGAAAGGGAGTTCAAAATAAAAATCATTAACATACTCATGGAGGTACGGAAAGATTCAAGAACTCAGGAATGAATTGGGTCAGAGATCAAATCGTTCAAGAGTACAATGGAGGGTATTAAAAGCATATTATATATGGTGGAGGAGACCATAAATCAAAAAGAAACTACAGAAGTGAAATAGAGAGAAGCTGAGGCAGAGAAAGAAATAAGGATCTCTAAGAATGAAAGAATGAAAGAATTGAGTGAACATTCTAAAGGGAACAATATTCGCATTATAGGGGTACCAGAGGAAGAAGAAAAAGAAAAAGGAATAGAAAGTGTCTTTGAGGAGGTAATTGCTGAAAAATTCCCCAATCTGGGGAAGGAGATAGACTCTCAGGCCATGGAAATGCACAGATCTCCCAATACAAGGGACCTAAGGAAGACAACACCAATACATACGGTAATTAAATGGGAAAGATCAAGCATAAGGACAGAATATTAAAAGCAGCCAGAGAGGAACCTTTGGTAACCAAGAATCTAAAGCATGAAATGGCAATAAGTACATACCTATCAATAGTCAACCTAAATGTAAATGTAATGAATGCACCAATCAAAAGACATAGAGTCACTGAATGGATAAAAAAACAAGACCCATCTATCTGCTGCTCACAAGAGACTCACCTCAAACCCAAAGACATGCACAGACTAACAGTCAAGGGATGGAAAAAGATATTTCATGCAAACAATAGGGAGAAAAAAGCAGGTGTCGCAGTACTAGTATCAGACAAAATAGACTTCAAAACAAAGAAAGTAA